TGAAAGACAAAGAAAGGATGAGGAAGAATTCCAGATTTTACAAAACTAAAAAGATATGGCAACTAAACGCAACATGTGACCCTAAATTAGAACCTGTATTTAAAAAAAATGAAAAAGGTATTAAAGGACATCGCTGATACAATTGGCAAAACTAGAATATAGACTGTAGATTAAAGTATTGTATCAGTGTTAAATGTCCTCAATTTGATAATTGCATTCTGGTTACATAAGAGAATATCCTTGTTCTTAGAAAATATACACTATTGCATGTATGCAACCTACTCTTAAATGGTTTAAAAAAGAACAAACAGAGAGAATGATAAAGCAAATATGGCCATGTGAAAAAAATGGTGAATCTGAATAAATGGTATTTGGGAGTCTTTTGGACTATTCTTGCAATTTTTATGTAACTTTGAAACCATTTCAAAATAATAAGTTAAAAAGGAAAACCTTTAGTGATTTCCCACTCTTTAAATAAAAACCGAAGGCTTTGGTATGGCCTTGAATGGTCTAGCTGCTGTCCACCTCTCCTAAGCCTCTTTCCATGTGGACCTCTCCCTCCATTGAGCACTAAGCTTCAGCCACCCTGCCTTCTGTTAGTTCATCTAGCCCTCCAAGCTCTTTCGCACAACGGAGTCTAGGCATGCTTTTCCCGAGGTCTGAAACACTCATGTGCTCATCATATGGCTGGCTCAATCTCATCCTTCAAAATCGACGTAAGAGAAAATGCAAAAACAGTTTCTACTAAGAAAAAGCCAGTTATCAAAATTAAGGATGGGGCTACATTTTGATAGCCACGACCACAAACTGGACCCAGTGCACTTATGTTAGGATTTATCTTGGGACTTTCTCTTGGTTGTCTTTGTTTGGTGGCCCTAAGGAACAAATGAATTTGCCCTAAGAAATAAGTAAAAGAATCAATTTGATTGACAAAGCCCCTGAACTGTTTTAGGACATACATCTTTAAGTTCTTAAAACAAACTACAGAACATGTACATAAATAGGTGAACACATATATACATAGAGCACATAGCTTTAATCTACTTGGAGTATAACCACCCATTACTCTTGGTCTAATCACCCACTTCAGAGTACACCATCTGCCAAAAACATTTAATATTCCCTTATTTCAGAAAGTACAGCTTGAGGTTGATCAGACCAAACCTTCCCACAAATAAGATTCTTAACATTTGATATTTGTGCATGTCAGCCACTGTCTGGCACATCAGAATGATGCATGAATTCTGGAACAAGCAGTTACTGTTCATGAATTCACAGCTATTTCCTTACTTAGCTAAGGGAAGAGAGATCTTAAAAAGACTGCCATGAAATGAATATGCAGAGAAAAAATTAAAACCAAAAGCACATGACAAAACTCGGGGCGAGGTGGGGGATGGAATATTACAACGCAAATGAGAAAATGAGCCTCTAGTAATTTACGAATCATAAAAATTTAGTTTTTCTTCCTTGCAACCAAAATACCAGCCAAATATTGGCTCTCTACCCCATTTCCTACATGGTCAATATCAGAGAATGTTTAATTTACTTTA